CCCTAACCCTAACCCTAACCCTAACCCTAACCCTAACCCTAACCCTAACCCTAACCCTAACCCTAACCCTAACCCTAACCCTAACCCTAACCCTAACCCAGAACAAGAACCAGAACCAGAACCAGAAAAAAAAAAGAACAGGAAAATGAAAATGAAAAAGAACCCTGGCCAGAACTCCGAAATGAACCCCTACTTTTGGAAATCCTAATGTAATCTATGAATAAAAATAGAAAAGCGAAGATATTCAGTAATTTTGTTTATCGGTTTCCTTTTTTCATGAGATGCCAGAGTAATATCGGCATATCTTAGCATTCTATTTATTTTATCAAGTATTCGGATTTTATCTTTTTAGTTAAATTTATTTCTAACAATTTTTTTAGATATTTTACTTCCTCTAGAATGATTTTCCGAACTACATAGAGGTTGTATTTTTCAGCAAATAAATGATTTTTTAAATAGGTTTAGACCTCTATCTTCTGTTTAATTGGCAAGGCCAAAGATCATTTTTTTATCCAAAATTATTAAAAAAGATAATCGAAATTAAGTGGTTTAGGAAGACTAATTGCATTTGGACAGCCGCAGTTTGAATTTTTTTTAGAAAAATGACGTCTTAAAGGCGGTGGAAGCGAACAAACTCATAAATACTAAATCTTCTACTCAAATAACTAAAAATAGGTCCCCCAAGGGAACTGAACGCGTGTCTCTTTGATTACTTGGGAAACAGGAATAACAGAAATCCGGCGTTTTAGGACAGGACCCCTGTCGTCCACACAAACTCTACAAGATAATAGAAAGTGGGTTTTATGAGGAGTAAAAAAACAGCAAGCAACAGATACCCCCCATGAAAAAAAGGAACTAATACATTCAGGTGAAAAATAAGTTGGTCATGATGGTGGGTGAAGGGGTGAGTCTAAACTGGAATCAAACCTGGCAAATATCTAATAGCATTTTTCGTAACAGGTATATATATAAACACGGATAAAACTTCTTGGCGCGCTCCATCCATTCCTCTACTAAATAACTGGACCAGGACCCAGTCAAGTAGCCGCCCTCACACACCGGTCTAGGACTCAAGCAAATCATAATGTCCAGGTTGTAATAACAAGTAAATAATGGAAGGAGGGTGAGCATTCTTGCCCTGCACCGAGCCAACTTGAATCGTCGTCAGTTTTCCAGCCTTGGGGTACATCGCCTCGACTTGAATGGTCACATCGAAAAGCTGCCCAAAGGCCCTAACCTCCACATTGTCGCTCTCTTTGGAAAGGGGCTCCACCTCCGTCTCGCAGTATTGCTCCACACTCGAGAAGCCAAGACCCATCACAAAGGGGACGAACTCGTCGGCGTGATCGCGCAAATAAATGGACAGGGCATAGCGAAAGTAGAGGATGAGATAGTCCGCCTTTTCTCTATTGACAACGGCCTCATAGACCATATCCACCGTGTATAGCTCCCCATTGCAAATACGCTGGGCAATGCCTTCCGCTATAAAACAAAAATCCATGCTGCCTTCCCCAAATTGCTGATGCATGCGTGGTCGTATCGTATTCTGCATAATCATCAGTGTGTGCTGACCAAATACCAAGTCCTGAAGCATCAGCTCGTACAATCGAAAGGAAACGCAGCGATAAAAGCAATTGCCGTCCCCTCGGGCGTACCGAATGGCCCTATACACCGAAGCACCGGACTCGGGAGAGGCCAAAAACAAAGAAAGCACCTGATTGTAAAACTCGTCGTCAGTTTCATACGCACGTGCCAGCGCACATGTGAGCGTGAGTGGCTCCGGTTGGCTGAGAAGAGGCGTGGATTGGACTTCATTTTGCATCTCAGATACCGGATTCTTTATTGGGTTAAACGTGGCACCATTATTAGGATCACGATTCATTGCTGCTATTGGAATTAGAGTTATAAGGATTATGGAAGATAAAAGAAAGGTTGTAAGAATACAAACTTTAAGCTTCTTCTTATGGTTGCGTGGCATGTTAGGGGCGTGTTCAACTATTGGCATTTCGGAATGAGTGTTAATTTGAAATGGTTGATGTTGGTATGGATATTGACTTATTATTAGATTTCTGTTAGAGATTGGGTGGGGTAGAAAATAAGTGCTTGTGGGATTAACCGGATGATTCATATTTTTTCATGGCATATAGTTTAGTCATAGGTTGATGTTTGGACTTTGTGAATTTTGCATAACTTTTGACAAAATACTATTTCGGAACCTATTTAAATAAGCTTCCCCTTTAACTCAAATCGCGTTAACGTCAATTTTGGACTTTAGTTTATATATCTCAATGCGGTCTATTCAAATTTAATTAGGTTGAATTTGTCATCTTTTACAGTAGAGAATCATTTATATTGGTGTCAAAAGAAAATCAAAAAGTCCAAAAAAAAAGATTGCCATACACTGAAATATAAAATAGTCCAGACAATACTACTTGCATACGATAGGAATTGGTTCAACTCCCGCGTTCATCATAAAGACAAATGAGTTAATATATATATATATAGGATGCATATTTTGAGACATCTGAGATGGGAGGATATGGAACCTCCATAGAGTGAGATGTGGAGATGTGTTATTGGGTGACACAGAAATAGCCCTAGTTCGGATAATGAAAGCTCCCCCGGTAGACTGGAGACTTAACGAGCCTCTAGCCTTAACCTACAGTACTATTGGGGAAGCTTTCGCAAAATCGTTAGATTGAGCTAAATTGGCTCGATTTTTTGGTGTTTTTCGCGAAAATGTGCTTATTGGGATCGTCTTTTCGTTGTATATTCCGTTTCTTGCAAAAAATCGAGCTATTGATTCGACAATTTTCGGCCAAAATTGGGCCCCACCTGTGATGTGAGACGTCTGAGTCATACTTCGGCCCCTGTGCCCTCAACTTCATCCTTAAATACAGTGCCTATTTAGGACCTTAGATTAACAAATAGGGATGTCTTACAATTATGGTGGCCCTAGACGGTGGGGTTACACCTTGGACTCGGTATACGATCCAACGGGAAAGTATGTATGCCCGCACAACGTTTGGTGGAAACTAATCAGATGTATTCCGGATTGGTGAAGTTGACTTCAAATGTTCACTAGAAACGAGCGAGAACCCTGACCCATTCTCATCATGAAGCCTACTTTATCGGAAAACGGTATGTGGATGACATACATGTTTTGTGGATGTTAATAATAAATCATTGGG